AAACTGTATTCGCATATAAACCACTTTTTTCCACCACTAGCTCTAGAACCTATAATTATTCACTCATTTTCAAGGCGTACAGTGTGTTTTTAATACCAAGGTAGTTTTCGTCATTTCATTACCCACTAGTCACTATAAAGACACCTCTGATATAATTAAACCGAATTCACTGTTCTTTTGTGAGATTCGCAAGAATGGCAACCGAATGATCAATAACTACTTGTAATGTGCTGGCTAATAGATTTTAATCAGAATTGAAAAAAAAATCTTTCATATGGACAATAGGGCTGTGTCAAGTCATTCGTTTGACCACAATGGTTGACTCGACTTTAATCAAAATTTAGCGTGGTAACTTTGTGGGCAGGTTTGGAACGTGACTGATATTCCCAAACAGCTGCTTGGTCAGACTGATGGCCAGGAAAGTGTCTATTCGCACGCAGTGCGTTCATACGTACAAATACGTACAAATAGTGATAAGGCACTTTATCCGTACGTTTATGTAATTATATCAAATTCGAATTTTGAATACGTACAACATAATGATAAATACATGCAATTTGAGAATAAGTTATATAACAATGAGTTAGGCACAGAGGAAAATGTGCTAGCAATATAGTAAGAAGTTCTTACATTCATAGGAAGAAGTTCCTACATTTATTCAGATCAATGTGATCGATGAAACAATCGATCAAATTTGAATTGCTATAATGCTTTCATATCTTTACAAAAACTCCTGATATAAAAGTGAACCATAAACCACAGTACATTACCTAAACAATGTTGAACATAGTTTCCTGAGAAATTTCACTTAGCATAATGAATTACATATCATATTCATCAAATTTTGCATAAGTAGATGTAAAGAATTTTTGAGTTGGTAATTATATTTGAGCATTTTCATGGAAGTGAAAGATGATTTTGATAACGAATGATATATTTTTATAGAATTAAAACGTTTACGTAAAATTGCGGATGAGCAAAAATATACACTACTCGTAGTTACTGCCAGTCATATTCGAACGTAAACGTACGGATAGGCAAACAATACACTACACGTACATACGTATACGTACGTAGAGGTACGCCAGCCATATTCGTACGTAAACGTGCGGATAGGCATTGGCATATTATACGTACGCATACGTACATACATATAGGTACGTCGAAACCTATTCGAACGTAAACGTACGAATAGGATTTCATCATATTTTTCGTACGTAAACTTACTAATAGATGCAGCCGAAGGCCAGACTTCATACTGAACGTATGTGCCCGGTCAAACCACAGACTTGACACAGCCTAGTTGTATGTTTCAGTTTCACAGAACTATAGTGATCGAAATATCCTGCTAGTGGTGAAAAAAATGTGATGAACACCTTGGTAGTAAAGAATAATATCACCCTGGTCCCTGGGTAGTACTGATATTCTTTACTTCCTTAGTGTATAAATAACCATTTTATACATACCGGCGCGGGTGTAGCAATTACGGCGTATTTTTTTCATGGAATTTGTAATATCTTGTAATAGTTGTTACACTATCAAGTTAGAATTGAAATAACACTTTACCCTTTTTTTTAATGAATTTTTTGGATTCACTCCATTATCTTCCCTATTACTCGAGAAAAATAATTTTATTGCGTTACATGATTTTGTGGAAAATTGATATCCAAATTTAACAATGAATGAGTGAAACAGAATGCGGAGTCACAAGTTTGAAGAAAGGGTCAATAGCAGGTATTTTCTGTGCGGGCACGGATAACTTCTTGGCAAATATAACCTTAAAGGAACCCAAAATAAGAGACCTTATGTCATGTTGGTCCAGGTATTTCCAAATTGGAATCCAGTCTCTGCCGTGCGTTTTCCAAAGTATTCAAGTTACTTTCCTCTTGTCATCTTGTCCCAATAATTTCTTAGAGATACTAAATAAGATTAAAATCCGGACTCCGAGCAGGCAATGCCATGGTAACGAAACAGACTTCCTCTAGATAATTTCCGACAACTCGGACGACGTGAGTCACATCAGTCTAAGAAATTCCTTCCCAGACCATAGCCTGCTACTCAGATGCTCATAATGCTGATTGATAAATACAATAAGATTATGTTATGCTATAAAATTGTGTTTCTGGAGTTGAAGGAGAGATAATGGAGTGAATTCAAAGATGAAATGTTAAAAAGTAAGGCTAAAGTATTCTTTTAATTTCAACTTGATAACGTAACTGTTAACAGGGTTACAAGGTATTACAAAGTCCATGAATAAATTACGATATACAGGGTGATCCACGGTGGATGGCCAAGTAGAAGTATCTGGAGAACGAAAAGACAGAACATCCTGAAAATTGGGTTTCTTCGATAATTGAACATTCTCTATCCGTCTAAAATATTTTCATCGATACAGTGTTGCCACTTTTATCAGCAACAACTAGCAACTTTGTTATTTCGAATGGAACACCATGAATTTTATTGCATTTTCAGATTCTTTCTGGAAAGCTGATTTCATCAATGTATCACACTTGGGGTCTAACAGGAATGGTTACAGAGATATAGGGTGTTCAAAATCGAGATTTTTCAATTTTAGGATTTTTTTGTGTCGAAACTATTCATTATCGATCAAAACGGCTTACATGTCCCTATCTTAACTTTTGATTGACTATCTACTGGAATTTGATTGGAAAAAATATAGGGTGCTTCAAGATTCAGAATTCTGATCACCCTGTATCTGTTCCAATTGAATGTCAGTAGATAGTGAATCGAAAGTTAAGATAGGGACATGTAAGCCGTTTGGATCAATAATGAATACTTTCGACACAAAAAAATCCTGAAATTGAAAAATCTCGATTTTGATCACCCTATATCTATGTAATCATTCCTGCTAGACCCCAAGTGTGATGCATTGATGAAATCAGCTTTTCAGGGAGAATCTAAAAATGCAATAAAATACAGGAAGCTCTATTTAAAATAACGAAGTTGCTAGTTGTTTCTGATAGAAGTGGCAACACTGTATCGATGGAAATATTTTAGACGGATAGAGAATGTTCAATCATCAGAGCATCCCAATTTTCAGAATGTTCTGTCTTTTCGTTCTCCAGATACTTCTAATAGGCCATCCACCGTGGATCAGCCTGTATAACTACTACATCCAGTATTCTTAAAAAAAGAGGTTCATATGCGAATACAGATTGCAAGCCAATAACAAAATTTTTATTGAAATGATATACTCCTATTTCCTCTCGAATAAATGAACTGAATGTTCCACATCCTCGACCAACCTACAACAGGCAGTATATTTTGGTAGGTATTATACTTGATCGTAATGTAGTTTTCGGGTAAGACATAACATTATATTATCAAATTCAGCATTATTATTTAGGGTAGTGAATTGGATATAGTAACTGGAGCTTCCTAGAAATGAACAATTCGATGAATGTTACCTAGTTTCCGATGCAAATGGAATTAAACTCTATCACCGAATACTGATTGCAAATTTTATTCCCCATTCGGATTTCCAGATTTTAATAGCGTGCATTTGTGATACACTTTATCCTCTGAATTGCGTCTGAATATCCAATCACCACCTAGACTCCCACTTCATACAAATTGCTCTATTCGAATAAGTAGATGCATTTCGCCTGTATTGAGAATCACAATTCCAACGTTCCATTAGCCCGGATAGATTGCGCATTTCGAATATTTTAATTTGACTATTCCACTCTTGTTATCGAGGACCAATCAGAATCGTTTGTTTTCACGTCATCTCCTGCAGGTAGGTACCTATAACAAAGATATTTTCTGATTACTGAAAATCATCGGACTCGCTGTACCAATACAGAAGCCGAATTGGTCCACATTATTAATGTCGCAATTATAATCCGAATTTGATTTTGACGGCACGGTTTTTGGTATCATCATTCATTGTCTTATTCAATCAGATAATAGTCATATACGGATTCAACTCGCTACACTATTTTTCCTGGAAAAATTCGTCGATTGACATACTCCAATCTGCTGAATTATACTACATGTATACATGTATATAGTGTGTCCTGCATTTCATGAATACATTTCAATACCTGAGTTATTATTAATGCGATCCATTGAAATTCTGCTGGTGAACGTTTGTTATGTAAATGGAATTATTGGCATAACTAAACATCGGCGTGTGGTGTTGGTTTGGTAAATAAGGCTTTATTTTTCGGAGAAGAGAGAATATATAACTTGGTCCTAAGGAAGATGTTTCTCATATTATGGACTTCGATTTACCTACGACTTTCAGCTCCCATGTTTCGAAGTTCATCAATAAAGAAACCAAACTGTTTCATTCCAGAAGGATAATGTATATTGAAAAATTGTATTTTTTGAATTTTTGATAATAGGGATATGTTTGTAGGCAGTGACCCAATGGAAAAATAGGAACCTATGGAAATTATGCTCAAAATAGACCTTTGGTACTCAATACCATTCAAGAACCTCTTTTCAAATTTTTCCTATCGTTTTTTTTTTCGTCTGATTGTGCTGAGACATTGTGCTTCTCTCACCCTGTACACTATATTGTGATATTTGTATGAAAATATATAATTTCAATTTTGTATTCATTCGACTTTCTAATCCTGTATGAATAAAAATGAAATTTCATTAGTGAATAAAAAATTCAATAATACCTAATTGTTTTAATGATAATTGATTGCAACATTATCCTTTTTTCTAGATGAATATTTATATTTATTCACGTTTACTCCTGAATAGAAGCAAAAAACGACAAAATATTTCAAATAATGCGAGCGCTTCCCATTAGCCAACATAAGATAGAAAGAGATAGGTATCCGTATAAACACTGCGGGTTGCCTGAACAATATTTTTGCCTCACTCGTCGTTCACGAAGGGTCCCTTCCAGGTGTTTATATAGAGTTCATTCTATGTTCGCGTTCTCAAAAATGATATATCCCTTACATAAATATTCCGCTGCGACAAAAGTGCATAATACCCGTCTGCGATTTCTGTTCCAGTTCGTAGCACATTCCAACGTCCAACAATTGCTGGCGTCCATCTGGTACGAAGGCCTGCCCGGATTCCGCAGGAAAAACATGTTCCTGCAGGCCCTCGAGATCGTCCGGATCGGCATCCTGTTCCCTTTCTTCTCGATCGCATACATTCTCGCGCCGCATTCGGTCGTCGGACAGACAATGCGGAAGCCCTTCATCAAGTTCATCTGCCATTCCGCTTCGTATTTCCTATTTTTATGTGAGTATGATGACGCGCCACCTCAACAGATATTCATACATAGGTTCATGGGTACCATGAAACGGGGACACTTTGCAAAAATAAAGAAGAAGAAAAAACCTTGGATATGTCAAGTATTAGTTCCCAGACAGCACCAGATATTCCATGAATCTTCCTATCATATTCCCTTTGGAATATTGGAATATTCTAGAAATAATCTGGAATATTCCGGAATATCTGTGGAATATTCTCTAAATATACGAATGGGAATTCCTCAGATATTCATAGAATATATCCAGAAGAATATTCTATGTTGAATGTTCCTGGAATATTCCAAGAAACATATTCTAAAATAAAGAAAGTGACCCAAGTAGGGATCGAACTTGTGACCTCAAGACTATCAGAGCAACGCATTGACCACTAGGCCAGTAATAGAATTGAATAATGTTGTACATATCAATTTCTTGTGAGAGCGTTGTTCAAAATCGGATTATAAACACTTTTTGTTTCAAAATCTCCCTACATCTAAATAATGTTCGATACTCACATATCTGAAATAATGATTAGTATTTATGTGTTGAGAAAAATATTGAATGAATATACACCACAGAATATTCAGTTGAGGATATTCCATGAATATACCGCACAGAATATTCAGTTGAGAATATTCCATGAATATACCCCACAGAACATTCAGTTGGGAATATTTCATAAATATACAACAGAGAATATTCAGTTGGGAATATTCCTGGAAAATTCATACCTGAATATATCCTGAACATATCCGACTATTCACTTTGGAATATTCTATTAATCTTCGATGAATATTCGGAATATACTCCTCCTTTTTAGCATATTTAGAGAATATTCTAGGAATATCCAGTGCTGTCTGGGTTGTATCTATAAAAACACGTGATATGCTCCACCGAAGATATACAAAGAATCCAAACGATCATGCACTGAAAGAACTACATCAAATACCGTAATAAATTGAACGAAATAATAAAAAAGGCAAAAAGCGATCATTTTAAATCCGAAATTGAAAAGGACATTGGATCATCAAAAAACATGTGGAGAGTATTGCATGTGTTTACCAACAGCTACAGAGGAAAACCTGACACAATAAGATATATGATGCTAGAAGATGGTAGAAATATAACTGATGAGATAATTGTAGCAGAAGAAATCAATAAATACTTTTCAGGAATAGAATCAAAATTGGATAATTGACAAGACTGGTCTTCATAATCATAATCAACCAAGTTTGATCATTTAATAATAATAATAATAATAATAATAATAATAATAATAATAATAATAATAATAATAATAGACTTTATTCATTGCCTGTGGAAGTATTCTCAACAACATATAATCTCCAAAAGTTCAAAAAAAATTCCAATACCTACCTCCTGTCCCTATCCTCCCTAGGAACGCACGATGTTCTTTGAACATTATAGGGATTCCCTCTCGTGCGCTCCAAGCGATAATTATTTTTTTTTTTTAATATTTATCAAATTTTGAATTCCGGAAACCACTGCAAACGTCATTGAATTATCATTGCCTTGTTCTGAACATAGCTTTTCAATAGTTTTTTGAAATTTTGTAAACTAAAATCTTTGAAATCAATTGGCATACTGTTGTACAGTTTAGCAGCGTTATAAGAGAAACTTCGTGTATACATTGCGGTAGAATGTCTAGGAATCAGCAAGTAATGTTTATTTCGGGAAGTTGCATTTTGTGATAGTGGAACCAATTTCCTACGTAAATATGGTGGAGTTCTTGAATGCAAAATTTTATGCGTGAAGGTGAGGAGGTGCATTTCTCTTATCCGTTTCATTTTTAGCCAACCAGAATCCTCAAACGAGGTACTAATATGATCATACTTTCGTATCCCATATATGAGAATCTAATACAACTATTTTGAATTTTTTGCAGCCGTGAAACATTCTGTTGTTATATCGAAGACTGGAACCTTTGACACGATAATACACTACACTGTTTTACCACTAACCAAACCGATTTTTCAACGCCTCGACACGTGTTTCGCTAACTATGTTAGCATCTTCAGGAGAAGATTAAAACAGTTTTAGTCTTCTCCTGAAGATGCTAACATAGTTAGCGAAACACGTGTCGTGGCGTTAAAAAATCGGTTTGGTTAGTGGTAAAACAGTGTAGTGTATTCTATTGTTGTAAAGCTGGTCCATAAATAGAGTCGCAGTAGGCTAATCTTGAAAATATCAGGGACCACCATAGACTCAGTTTCAGTTTTTTTGACATTAAGTGTCTACTAGGATAAACCTAGGTTTTTGCTTTCATTTACAAATGGAATTACGTCATTGTTGATGCATATAGAAAGTGAGTCACGCACGGTATTTCTCTTGTTTTTGGCACCAAACAGCATAACCTGCGATTTCTTGGAATTCAATTTTAAGTTGTGAGCACTTGAAACATTAAATATCAGTTGAAGATTATCGTTTATATGTCTCTCAGCTGCTTTCACTTCACTGAAATTGAACGACATATACAACTGGGTATCATCCGCGTAATGATGTATTTCACTTAGTCTTACAAATTCGTGAAAATCACATATATAAGGCGCGAAGAGGAGTGGTCCTAGCACAGAACCTTGCGGTACACCGTATAATCTACTCAGGGAAGAAGACTGGTCACCGTCTAGGCTAACACTCTGAGTCCGATCAGTTAAATAACTCTCAATGAGCGCAACTGCTTCTCCAGAAAAACCGAAATATCTCAGTTTTTTGCATAAAACAGACGGGTCCAAAGTGTCGAATGCTTTACTGTAATCTAGCAGAATAAGACAAGTAAAATACCCTTCTATATACTTACGTCCCACCTCCGAAACAAAGATTAAAAATGAAATTTTCTCATTGAAAACGTATAAATCACCGGGTCCAGATAGAATAAAAAATGAAGTAATCAACCTAATGTCAATGTATATATCTTCACCCCTATGTCACATTTACAACTTGTGTATAGCCACTGGAATCATTCTCCTAGCACTTAAGACAGCGATTATCATACCTATAAACAAAGGCGGTGATAAATTCGAATACTTTATCGTCCCATCCCACTAACGTCAGTTTTTTCTAAATTATTTGAGAAAATCATTAGACGGCGTCTTGTGGATAATCTCAACAGGCATAATATAATTTTCAGTAGGCAATATGGTTTCAGAGAAAATAGGAGTACCCAAGATGCACTAGCTCACCTTACATCATTATTATATGCATCTGTGGATGCTAAACGGCCATGTCTGGGTGTTTTCGTTGACTTAGTAACGTATCACATGAGATTTTGCTGAGGAAACTTGAACACACAGAGAGAACTTAGTGCAAGCTTTTAACACATTTGTGTAGATTTTTTACACAGTTTGTTTCTAAAATGGTGACAGCACCAATTTGTGTATATTTCGCGCAATATTTTGTGTATAACCAAACAATTCAGTTTTGTAATTTTCAAAACAATTTTGTTCAAAAACCAAACAAAATTTGTGTACTTTCGTGACACAAAATATATAAAATCATCCAATATTTTGTTCGAAAAATATCACCAATTTGTGTGATATGTGTGCACAAACTGTGTAAGTGGATGAACTTAGCATTACAAAATTGTGGAAATGTTCACAATTTATTTTACTGAAAATAACACAAATTTGTGTATTTCTTGTACACAAATTTCGTAACGATACAAAAGTATGTGCACTTCCGTAGACTGTAGAATCTTCTCATTTAATAATGTCTGGCGATTTGGTAAATGATTGATGATTGTACTGATGATCATAGGTAGTCCTTCCACGAAATTATTTCATGTTTACTAGTGGCAAAAAGTGGAAGATGTAATAAGATGTATCAACAAAGTGTCGATTCTTTGTTGGGAACTACCTGAACTAGCATCAACATTCGTCCGTAAGTTATTTCAATTAAAAATGATTAGCTATTAGCTTCGACTTGCTTTCAATGGGTGTTGAAATTGAAAGCAAGTCGAAGCTTATTATTATTAGGTATTCTTGAAATAAAAACTTACCGGCGAATGTAGATACCAGAGTTCAAGCAGTTCCCAACAAAGAAGAATGTCTTCGACACTTTGTTGATACATCTCATTACATCTTCCAATTTGTGGCACTAGTAAACATGAAATAATTTTGCGGAAGGACTATTCCTATGGTCATTAAGTACAATCATCAATCATTCACCAACTCGCCAGACAATAATAAATGAGGAGATTTTACATTCTGCACCATACACACTTGTAACCTCCTTGTAACACATCTACAGGTCAAGATATTGAGATTAAGATATAAGTAGGTAGAAGGAGAAGGAGATAGGACGCCGTTACCAAGTGGAAGAAAATGGCACACCTGTGGCAAAATATTACACATATAGTAGCATTATTTCAAAAGCGGTGTATTTAGTCAATACAATTGTGTGCATTGGATGATGTGCATATTTTTGTGTAGTTTTCCGCTACATGGATATGTACAAATATTTCACAAATTGATATACACAAAAATTTGTTTCATTTCACGAAATGACTGTAGTGATTATTCGAACAAATGTTAAATAATACTTCACAAACATCTTTTACACAATGTTGTGCATAGATATGCAATCGCCTTTTCTCCCTGTGCATCTAGGCATAAGAGGAACTCCTTTGTCTTTATTTGGTAACTTCCTATGCAACCGTGAACGGATGGTCAAAATAAACGACACAATAAGCAGCCGAAGAACAGTATCTTGTGGTGTGCCTCAGGGCACAGACCTTGGACCTATTCTGTTCATAATATACTTGAACACACTACTCACCTCAGAAACATCTGGGGAGATAATCTCATTCGCGTATGATACTGTCATAGTTTACGCTGCAGATTCGTGGACTGATGTGAAGTTATTCAACCAACAAGTTAGTGTATTCGATCGTGATATTTAAACGTGCGCGCAAAGAATGCGCGTTAATATTTGGGTTTGATTCCTAGCCAGGGCAAGACATTTTTGTAGTAT